CAGACGGCCTGAGAATCATTGCGGCGGAAATGGACGGGGTGACCGACATAGGGGCATTGCGTAGATAAAGCACCGTATTGTTATGCCGAGAACCGAACCCCGACGGATAGGTACATCATGCGGACGGCGCATTCATGCGCAATGAATGGGCCGGGAATTCGCGTCGACCCTGCAGGCGCAACACGAGAGCCATGAACGTATCGACAGACGGACACCCGCCCCTTTTCCTGCTAGGCGTAGTCCGCGCCAATTGACAACTCACCGGAGGGCCAGGAGAAGCGAGAATGGCAAAAACGTGTGTGCGCCCCGCAAAACAAAAACACTCGCGTGCGCTCGTCGACGCGAGCTGACGCACACTGACGCGCGCCGCACTCGGTTGCGTAGATGGCGCTGGATGGCGCTCGCTCGCAGCCAGAGAAAGGTCGTTGGCCCGACCGCCGCTGTTGCGGCTAGTCGAGCCAAACGTGCATTTATATACTTTGTATCTACTAACTATGCACTGTTAACTGCTGTAAAGACCTTCTGAGCATGTTAATTGTCAAGATCAAGGATCGATATACGTGATACTCATTACTCATGAAAGAAATGCCTACTCATGCTGAAACAAAGTATGTGGTATTTAGGAATTACCACGGCCCGCGCTCAATACATTGCTACGTTGAGTGCGTTCACAACGTCTAAAAACTGTGTCGAAAAAAAATATTGATCCATATTCTTTTGCTATTTAGCATCAAATACCTTCCGAGATCTTATCGGAATTTGGATTAGGCTTGCCAAATGCCGCCAAATTTAGGCTAATTCTGACTATTGTTAGGCTTTGGAGGTCGGTAGGGGACTTGGCACTGGGGATCTCAATTGTGGCCTCACTTTGCACGTGCGCACGTGCAGTACCTATGCACTTGCACAGTGCACACGTCGTTTCTCACAGCAATATGCTCTACTATATAAACGCTCACTCATTCATCGCTAATAAATGTTGCATACTGGACACTGGCTATCAAAAATGCTTCATAAGCGCCACACGTAGGTACTCGTGCTTAACTCCTACATGAGTGTAAAGTTAGATAAACTCTGAGGTCAGAGAGTGACTACCTAACTCTGTCACGGTTCGGCACTGACACAAATTAAGATGGTAAACCTATCGGTGATCGAAATTCTCCAAACGCATTGCTACAACTTTCAGCAGAATAAGCTCTCTGAACCTTAACAATGCCAGTGTCATATCCTCCCGGAACCACTCGGGTCAGATTCAGCCTGGATTGGTATTTTCTGGGTAGACTGTGTGGGCTGTACCTGCAGTTGCTGTTTATGTTTTCACATGTATGCAAGTGGATATCAAGTTCAAACAGCACTAGTTGGCTCTCAAGTTCAGATAGCACTGGTCTCTAAGTTTCTAGTCTGTGGAATATGACCAGACAAATTATTCACCACACTGTTGTTCCAGCCACGTGCCTCGACCATTGTTGAAAAGTGCACCCTACTCGTGCTCGACCAAAGGTTTACTTAGCTCCTAAGCAAATCGTTTGCTTATTATTCTGCCTCGGTTTATAACTGTTAATGACGTTGGCTGGCATCTTACAATATACATTTTTGCTATATTAGGCAATTGATGTGTGTTTAAGTGCCATATGACGCCTTGTGAAGCTGCCTAAAACATGCAGAATTGAGATTAAAGCTCTCCGTCTGTTATCTTTTGGTCAGTCCTGTAATAATTGCTTGAAGCACTGGATTGGAACATTGGAAATATTAACAGCCTCGGATATTATGAGAAAAGATAGCCGACAGTCGAACTCATGGAGCTGATGTCCGACGACATGCAATTTACTACCGCTGGAAAAGCTGCAATTTTTTCATTCTTGTTAGATGACAGACCCTGAGCATCATCCCAGAGCTTCATTTCAGATCTTCCCACTCAGAGACCTATAAGTAAATTATGCATGAATGTGCGAGGAACCGTCAGTTCATCGCGCAAAAACATTATACAAATAACTTGCAAATAACCACAATTTCCAAATAAGAGGAGAGGGGAATGTGCCTTCTGACTGTGTGGTTCCTATATAGAGAGCTTGTAACATGTTAGCATGTACAACTACAGTCGGTTAATTCGACCGAATTTTATTTAGAATAACTTAAATCTTTAAAGTTTGAAGAAAATGTTCAACTTCACTAAATGAGGAGGGAAGTGTGTGGCAGAGGGCAACATAGCGCGGACGGCGACCGCGGCGAGGCCCCGATCAAGCCGCCGGTTTCGATATGCATACTGGAACCGAACAGGTAATCCTGGCAGAACCGATGGCCCACCAAGGGCTCAGGAGATACTCCATAAGTCGACGGGATAGGCCGTTAAGAGATTTAGCATCGCCCGAAATATGTTCCATGAGTCGTAGAGCATTATTACAATAATGTCGATGCATGGAAGCATGTTTGGCGACGTTTCGTTAGTTTCCTTTATGTAAGTTTTTGCCAAGCACAAATCATGTCTCGGCAGTAGGCAGTAATTTTACTGACTTGTTTGCTCCGACCGTGATGCATGATCCGTTCTATTCATCCACTTGCTCTGCTTTCGGACAATTCGAGAATCGCGTCTATCTGTAACATTCGAGTGAACGATGGCCCACACTATCCATCACTGCCGGCTCATTTCGTCCCCTTTGTCAACTGAAGCATAGATAACGACAGAAGCATATACGCCGGCTGAAGAAATAGCCGGCTACGGCAGTCCACTGAGCAGCGTACATCAGTTGAATATCACTGCTGGAGGTTTGCATGAATGAAAATCGATAACTGCATGTATTCAGAGACTCGCTTGTCCCTTAATCACCCGCTGAAGCATGATGGGTTTAACCCACTCAACTTGCTACCCCACCCATTAACCCACTCAACTTGCTTGTTGTTTTTCAAGCTTCCTTTTGTTTTAAATGCTAGAAATTAGTTGAAGAAATTCAAGCCGAACTTACTGACCTTCTATTACACAGGAAGAACGTTAACCCTCGCCCGCACATGCCATTTTCCCATCCTAGAACGCACATGGGGGGGGGGGGGTTGCCACCCCCCGGCGCCATTTCGTTCCTGTTGGAGAGAGAGCTTCGTGGTAAAGACCAAAAAGATTCTTTGGGAAGAGACAAATCCAATGATACCCAGTTTTACCCTCTCAGGTCAGTCATTGACCTTGGGTCAAACTAAGAATGTTGCTGTTTTGGGTTACCGTTGGATATCAAGTGCGGTGCTTATCATATACCGATGACGATGCCGTTTTCTGGTGCCAAGCCAGCTAGAACGTCTTTGTAACACTACCCGACCAGAATTTTGCTGCTGAGGTCATTTCAGGTCAAGCTAGGTCAAGGTCAATTATATGTGTTTGTATGTCTGTGTGTGTCTGTGTGTATACTGATGTGTGCACCGAGTGTTTATGTGTCCATATTACATGAAATGATGATCTGAGAAGCTTTTACCAAAAATGCAGTAAAAAAACTTCACGAAAAGTAAATTCAGCTTGCCTAAAACGCAATTATCTTAGATGACCTAGGTTGACCTTGACCCTGACCTTGACATCTGTACATCGTCGAATAACATGTTCCATGATAGGTGGGAGGTAAGACTGGCAAAAAAGGCCGAAATCAATGTGTCAAAAGCTCACAAGGCCCATAGCCAACGTAAGATGTTGAGAATTGGTCATTTGGGTCATGACATGACCTCAAAAACAAGGTCATATCTCCGAAACCAAAACCGCAGAAACTTGAAATTTTCAGGGGACATCAAGAAAGGATAGAGGAGCAGATATACCAAAAATCAAACTTCTAGCTCTAAAAATGTTGAGTGCAGAGCAGAAAGACTACCTGGGGGGGGGGGGGGTGGCAACCCCCCCCCCATGTGCGGGCGAGGGTTAAGTCTACTCATATTGATTGTAATTCACCGTACTGTAATTACAAATATGTAGTGCCTTTGAGCATACGACTAGGATCTATGCCTCAAATCATACTCTGTAGGATCTATATTGACGTAAGTTACGGAAAGGGCACCATAGCACCTTGGCGAGTAAAGCCCCTCGAATTTACGATATCGTATACATGTGCATTTGCAAGCGTATGAAGTTAAAAGCACATTTACCAAACATGCGAGCACTACAACAGTCACATGAAACACGCGAGAAGACCATATAAAATGCCATCTTGCCCTCAATCACTCCAACACCCATCTGCACAGAACTTTATGGGTTGGAGTCACTGTTCGTCATTTACAATATCTGATAAAAAACAGTTATTTTATATCAAATACGGGCTGGGAGACTCACAGTTTCCACCACTCCCACTCGCTCAAGACCAGCTCGACAGGCAATGCCCCGCCAGCCGCTCCACAACGCGAGCTCCGCCGACTGGGAGGTAGACTGTACCGCAGTACCCGACTGCGCTGCGGTACAGCATAGGAGCGCGGCGGCCCACGCCGTAGCCAACACACAGCATGCTGACGGAGACTCGTGCGCGATTGAGCCTTATCAGCTCTACTCAAGTTAAATTAAAAATGTAGGTGCTGTAGTAATGTTCTAAAGAAACTGTGCACACTTATGACGGTCTTCTATGTCTATTTAAGCAAACGCCACACTTCTTGTGTGAGAGAGCTGCAAAATCCTACTTGAAATTTCATTGGATCATATTTGCAATCCATGAACTATTGAAAATACCGTAAACGTTAGCCTTTTATGGTCATTTTAACTTAATCAACGTATTCATCGAAGCTAAGAGGTGATCAAAAGGAGTACGGAGACACTGTTTACGTATATTTAGAATAAGTAATCATCAAATGAAATTATAAATGCAGATTTATAGTGAACTATTTTCGTGTTTTATCTAAAAGTATGCAACAAACCTCCGGAATAAGTTTGCAGTAAGGTCCCATGATGCTGTGTCTGCGGTGGAAGCGGTTCAAGAGCGGCCAACGGCAGGGTGGTGGGCGGCGGGGCGCAGCGGGCGGCGCCGGCCGCGCGCGCGCGCGCTCTTATTTAACGGCCGGCTGCCGGCGCGGCGGTCAGCAGTGTGCCGGGCCGCCGCAGAGCAGAGGTGCCAGACGGCTCGCATACGAGCACAGAGGGCCGCCGCGCCCCCGCCCCGACGCACCCCGGCCCAGGCCACGGTCGGACTCCGCCGGCGCCCGCCACCACTCCAGGTGAGTCGCGGGAGCTCCGGCGTGTGCTCTCCTGCCGTTTGTGCACGAGCGGACGCTAAAACTCAAAAACAGCTTCACAATTCTGTTTACATCACATACATAATCCTCATAATGCTACGAATAACTTCATTCAACATAAGCGCTATGAGCAAGAGGGTAACATATATATTAGGTGCAACCATGTGCAACGATTTAATACTGACAACTGGATTGAATTAAAGACATAGCACTAATCCTTCATACGCAATCATATGAGCACTAAAAGTCAGCCCGCTTTGAAAAAAGCAGTTTTGATAAATGCGTCTCTCGTTATGCTAGCATCCTAGTGAGCTTCATTCCTCTTTTACCGAAATCGCAAAAAAACTTTTACTATAATCGAACAGTTCCATGGGTAAAAATCCGGCCGTCAATTATAGTTGTTGAGCTTCTTGAAGCAACACTGCTTAAAGGGACCCTCCCACCTTAACATTAGTTTTGAGTTGAGATAGCCAAGTTTGCGGCCAGGCTCAGAAACCACCATTTATCCTGGTCGCAACCCCCGCAGCTTTATGGTGTTCAAGAAATTTCTTCCCTTTACTTGCAGGGTGGGACCAGCGTGGTCCCTATCTCTTAACCATTACGGGAATCTGATGACGTCATCAGGCTTTCGAAGGTCCGTTAAATGTTTGACTAAAATGTTTTGTAGCACGCGGTGGTATATGCTGCTTTGCGCGCAACAAATGCCGCACTTTCAAATAAAGTCGCTAGGAACAGCGGGGATCCCAAAAAGTAAACAAAAGTAAAAGTCTAATATCTTGAAAACCGGTGAATATTTTTCGATGAAATTTGGTAGATATTCGTTTTTGCTCTTTCTGAACCGAGTGACATCACTTTCATGCCAATTCATTAAATTTTTTGAAGGTGGGAGGGTCCCTTTAATTTTCATGGCTAGACATGTAGATAACTCCTGGCTCGCATACAGGTAACCTGATAAAAAGTAATGAATATAAACGTTTCGTCACAAAACTCTTTTTGCTCAGTTCTTCGCTATGTCTAACGTCTTTAGCTGAATTTGATGGTAGGATGCTTTACTGCAAGACCAGTTGCCGTCGCTTTCAACATTTAAAACCTTGGCCGTTCAAGGGCAGGTGTCGGAAATGTGAATTTACTTGTTCCATAGCCATTCAATTAACTTATTTGGTCCCTGATTCTCATTAACATTAAGCTAGTTACCTGCTTAGTGATTAAATATTTCCGCACATTTTGCTCGCCAGGCTGCAAAATAAATACATTTTCGCATTTCACACTAAACAACTGCACCTTACCGATTTCAATGAAACTCAAACGAACGTTTTCTTGCATAATAGCTATCTCCATTGGCAATGGTGATCATGAAGAGAAGATACATGATGAATCAAGTGTTTGTTTACAGGCGTTTTCCTTTGAATTATGCCAAGGCATGGTGAAGGTATATGTTTTGCTTCGTTTTTATTAAAGCCAATAACGGCAATTCAGTGTACTAACACTGAGTAAACCTTCCCGCCTAGAATATCTCACTGCGGCCTTTTCGGTATATCACTCGAAGTTCAGACGGCTGCTAACAGAAGACGATTCGGCCCCGTGCGACCCGAGTGGGAGAATCGGAGGCATGGGTTCATTTCAATGAACTAGAAAACAGATTCGCAACATAGTTCTCCTACACGAGGCAGATTGTGGTGAGGTGATATTCAGGCTACTTCAGACTTGGCCGCTTTACATTAATTCATTTGTATGAGGCACGTGTCCAGCTTTCGCTCGACAGCTTTTTATCTCGTGCATGCACAACACGCATGCTATTAAAGGTAAAACAGCATACAAGATTTTAGATTGTACTATTCATTGTACGATTATAATGAATACGCATGAGTGCATTATAATCCTTTTAAATTACAAAAAGTATTAAAACCGATTCGCGTTTCGGTGAAAGAGGGCACAAAAAGTTGAACTATTGAGCGTTGACTGCATAGAGATCTTATATACAGAGATGTATATAAGATCTCTATGGTTGACTGCCCGTGTCAGAATATCCCTGATTCTCTCTCATGTCGTGACTTCTAAAAGCCTGACGTTTCCTCGTCATCTCATGCTACCGTGATGATTGTGACCTCTGGCCAGCGGATAGCCGCCGTCGCACACACGGGGCTAATTTTCCACCGGGACAGTGCGCACGAGGGATCAGCCGTTCTCTCCCGTGTACCGGGCGTCTGCGGCCCTTCCATCCGTCCTAATCTAGCCAAATTAAAGAACGCCCGACTGCAGATGTGGTAGTTATGTCGAGCAGATCGGACAGCAGCGGCGACATCCGCGCACGACAACATGCCCGCCGGGAAATTGACGGTACAATTACCGCGGTGTGGCCTACAGCACGGACAAAAAGGGCAGACGTGCGCACCGCGGCAGAGCAGCAAATAATATTTCAGGCTGGGAAAATTCAGCATCAGGGCCTGTTTGCTCCGGTGTTGCCGCGGCTAGTTGGGCAGTTACGGCTGTGGATTCCTGTAAAATGGCACAGGCCTCACTACCCGGCAAGCTGTGGAAGCCACTTGAGGTCCTGCCAGAAATGGCAGAACAGTGAACCACTGCGCTCTGCGCCAATACACTCGTCAACACTGGCACATCCAAGGCTTCTTGAACGGGGATCGAGTTTATGGCATATTGTTGAGAGTATCTTGCATAACCAGACCTCATCCAAAGCCTCGTAAAGTAACGGCTGTTGTGAGGAAAATCAATATCAAGAAAAACGACTTACAGTTTGATAAGTTTATTGTCTAGCGTCTCTAGTAAAGTATCTACAACCGTACGACAAGGTCTTCAACATGACCGTAGTGAAGTTAAGTCAATGAAAAATGGGTTGAGATAGAGGCATTGCAAACACCGTAGTAATAAAAAAATGCATTGGCAGCTTTTGCACGCACTTACTTGCTTAGACGTCATCGAAAAATTATCTAAAGCCAAATTTTCTATCGTCGGCTCGCTGGCCCAATGCATCTATAACGGCGACGTGGGCGTTCTTCGCTTATGTAATGTTTTGAGTCAACACTGCCAGGCACGGCGATACCTATGTGCCAATAGGGCACGGCGTCAGCAAATGTCATTCACTGATAGCTGACGGGTGTGAGCTATTCTGTTTGGCCAGCCATTAGTCCGCTATTATGATTGCGCTCATAAAGCTGTTAGACATCTGGTGTAATAGCTGCACAGCAAAAAGCGAAGCCGTATTTTATATTTATCGGTGAGTAAAGGTTCAACACTGTTTCTGAAAATGCTGACATATTTCTCCCTTTTTATTTTTAATAGTCAAATACTCAAATGCTTTAATAGACAATACTGATTGTCAGATGCCCTAATTAACCAATAATCATTGGAAACTGATATAAGTAAGACGCGGTCATTGACTTACAGTTAACCCGCGCCCAGATGGGGTCTGCCGAGCAACGCAGTCTGATGGGGGGGGGGCCATTTTGGCCCCCCCCCCTCAGATCTCGAGAACCACGCAACATAGCGACAAGCGGTAAACGGTGTTGGATAGCCCCAACGGGGAACTACCTTGTGACCCAATTTCATTGACCTCGGTCAAACCGATGACGTCACAGGTCAGGTCAAAGGTCGAATTTTCACCGTTTACAGGCATTTCAAGAAATGCGTTGTAAAATCGAGTAAAATGCATTTCATTGAAAATCATCGGTGGAGAAATGTTCTTCAAACACATATTTTGCTATTTGAGGTCACTGATACCAGGTCAGGTCACAGAGGTCAGGTCACTGGGGGGGTCACAATATGAAAGTGTCGTGTGATGCATGTTTTATGGTCCATTTTACATGACAAATGCGATGATGTGGGTCAGACAGACTTTAGGGCCAGCTTAGGTCACGTTTTGGTCAAGGTCAGGTCAAGGTCAGGTCAAGGTCAGGTCAAATTAGGTCAAATTTCAAAGTTGATATTTTTGCATAAAATGGGTATCGATTCGATGCAGCTCGTCACGGGGAGTTCAATGGTGGTCTCCGTTTTGCGCTACGAGGTCTAGAATTGCTAAAAATTGAGTTCAAAAATTTGACGTCATCAATTTTTAACAGTTTTTTTGCTATAACTTGGCCAAAAAAAGAGGTATCGATCTAAAATTTGGTATGTATATCGAAGAGCGTAGGGACTATCACATATATTCCGGTTTTTTCGAAATTCGAAAAAAATTGGAAATTTTATGAGTTTTTCTAAAAAAATCAATTTTTTGATTTTTGGGGGTCAAAATCCCAAAATTTCGAAAATCCGAGACAGCAGTTTTGTAGCGCCGTCTTTTCTCTACACAACCACATAAAGAACTTTAAAATTGCTTGTTAAGTGTAGAATTGGTGAGCGTTTCAAGATGTCATGTTTTTTGCTCATTTTTGCTCGAACATGACCTCAGTTTGACCTCAATAACTCCTGACCTGAGGTGACCTGTGACTTAAAATTTTGTGTGAAGGTGTCAAATTGATGCCCGGTAAGGTACCCAAAATTTGGCGGCGCTGCGCGCCGCCGTTTTCTCGCTATTTAAGAAAAACCACAGGGGGGGGCAAAATGGCCCCCCCCATCAGGGCGCGGGTTAAGACTCCACCTAAAATCGAGACGCTCGATGTGTCCCCCACCTCAAGGGGAACAGTTTTTGGACCACCTGAGATCAAAGGAGCCATGCATGCAGAATTGGGAGGCGCGATCCTGTTGCTGCCCACACTCTGGTCTCAGTAAATGTCCACACACTGCTCTCCAGAAATGACCCCACACTGTGTGGACACCTTCTGTGAAGTGTGACCCAGAACTTCAGCACCAGATGCTGCAGCTCTCAGCCCTTGGGTGACTGACCACACTCTCAGCGTCCTCTCCAATCCAGATGGAACTGCGGTGCTGTACAAACCACAAACGTCTGAACTGCCCACAACACAAACGTGGTCCATGTTGGCGGAGACAGCTGGCATTATGCAGCCGCTTCTGGGGATTTTTTTTATCCG